TTTTTAAATATGCAAAACTGTGAGAGGTATTTGCCACAACTTTTGACTTTTGATATAATAAATAATGACAATGATTACTTTTCTAATAATCAATAAATAACAACAACATTTTAACTGTACTCAGCAGAATCTCAAATGCAGTCAAAGTAAACAAACTGTGTGTTGTCTGCGTTACATCTCCCCAATTCAACTTCAGCAAATAACTCTGGCACCCAGTGTCCTGGGAGTAGAGGACGGACTTGAGGAGGTATTAATGGATAAATGTGCTGCCTCCGATGTTGCACTTTTCTGCCAGTCTATAAAGAAATCACTGATGTGCAGGTACAAAAGAGACAGAAGATGAAGAGAATGAATATTATGCAATGTTGCCTGACAGTTCAATGACCTCATCCTGCTTTTCATCTCAGCTTAGCTCAGTTTGATTCACTTTTATTACCCGAAAGGGGAAATTAATATGCAGTCGACAAAGTGAAAACATAAAAAACACATTTATCAAAATGGTACAAACATGAACTACTGCGTATATATCTTTTTGTATCTGTAATGGCTGACAGTTCTGCATTTAAAGCCTTTAACCAACAGGTGTCACTTAAAATTGGAAATGACAGAGTTCAGGTTTAATATGGGTGATTCAGCCTTTGTACACGGGCACAAATAATTAAAAAGCAAACTGCAAAAAATAAAGATCAAAAAAGCCCAGTGAGAAGCTCACATGTGAGGATGATCAATCAATGGGAACCAGGTGTTTGAACAGTGGAACAGCTACAGGTGCAGCAGAGGGTTGGGGGGTAGGGGGGGTGGGGAGGGTAAATACTGATTTTGTTCTACTTGCACACAGAATACACAAGCTGTTATAACAATGTGAGAAGGTGACTCACTTCTGTAAAGTTTTATCGGTTCGAGATAAACACTTTTTTTTTTCAACGGCCGCCTGAGATGACATCTCAGCACAGAGGATGGCCTACATACACAATCTCACAGCCTCCAGGGTTGGTTACTGTCTGGGTCTAAGTTTTACTCTTGTTGTCTTTTAGTCTAGCAGCCTTTAAAATGACTTCCACCACCTGTTGCATTACATTTGAAAACAACAAAAAAGACAAGCTGTTCTCCAGTTTGTTTAATATGCTTGCAATCAGACGTCTGTGCATGTTGAAGTGGTGTTGCTTTCTATAGGAAAATACTTGTAGGTTACTTGAGACGCGATGAGTTCCGCGTGGTGAGCTATAGGAAAATACAATGATACCTGAGCCTTGGCTCTTCCTTCACAATGGCCTTGGGAGGTGGGCCGGGATCGTAGCTCCTCAGTAGCTCAGTTTCCTGTATGCATGTCTTGAGCTGAAGTACCCTCTCCCACTCCACTTCATTGTTCCTCCCCAATCCGTTCTATTATTTTGCACATCCAATTATTCATTCTATTCATCCTAATCAGCTGCAAGCTTATCATCTCCCCTAGTCGCCCCTCTCAACTCCCCAAGAACCCACACAGTGGACGAGGTCACAAAAGGTTATTGAATAAAGTGCAAATCACTTTCCGTGTTCTTCCTTATGAATCAAAGATACACAATCTTTGGTTATTATGTATTCCAAAGCAAACCCGGTTTAACTGGAGGATAAGATAACAATATAAATATAAAAAATACACTATTAAGGGCCCTCTTCTGAGAAGTCTTCTCACACTGCTTGTAGTACATTTGCATTTCAGTGTTGTAGAACTCTAGGAGTCAACACATGGCAATAACAGTACAATCTGTGATGCCAAAATAAAGACAACTGTCATCCTATCGCCAAAATTCAACTGTAACCTGTTCCCACTTCCAGACTGACTGACACATCTCTCAATACAAGGACTAACACTAGACAACAACTACATCAACACACAGTTAACAGCAGCACTTAAGTTATATTTAGTTGTTGTCTTTTGTTGAAAAAAATAAAATAAATCCTCTGTAGTTTTGAGTGTGGGACTCGTCACTACAGGTTCAGTTAAAGTGAAAAAAAACATTAAAGCAGATGTATTTTTACAAAACAAAAAAGATCTTACTTTGTCTGTATATGATCAGCTCTCTGGCTAGTTAGGCTAATATGATGTACTCATGTAAAGAACTGTGAATTGCCACTTTATCTGCTGAAGTATTTGAATTAAAGCACTTGTCAAGTCTGTTCGACAGTGACTTGCCAAACTTTCTGGCATGATAAAGGCAACTATCAAGTCCATGTCAAAACCTGGTGACAAAGCTTGATCTTTAAATACTTTATACACATTAGAATAGAAGAATAGAATAGAATAGAATAGAACTTTATTGATCCCTGGGTGGAAACCTCAGGGAAAATGCTGAAACTACACACATATCGTCTCAGTGGGACAATCTGATTTAAAAGAGCTCCCTACGCAGCTACAGAAAAGCTTTCTGCATGCTTTGAGCTTCAAAAACACTTGTCTAATGACTCCAAGGTTACACAGATGGTTTTTACTTTCATTTGACCAATTCGCTGCACACCTGATACTGCACGACTACAGTATTATATGGACACTGGGCAACATGAAGGGCTAGTCAGGTCATGCATGTCGTGTGGAGACCAGGATGCGTAATGGGAAATGCAGAGACAATATTCAGTGTCAAGATTCATCTCAGTTATATAACTCGGTCAGCGTGGCTACTATGTCAGCCCACCTACCTCCACATGGGTAATACAAAGAGTCCAAACTAGATTAATTAAATTGTATGTGTAAAATTGAATATCTAGATTCCATTAGAAAGGATAAGACAAGCCAGCGTTGCCTATTTCCAAACGTAAACATTTGAGAGCATCACTATTTTTAGCATTAACAGCTGTACTCTTTTGGGATTGGAGTGTGCTGAAAGTCAAAATGGGCGCTTGGAAGTATAAAAATAGCACATTTAGCGACAGTATGTTTTCTTGATACGGGTATGTGTTTGACCCAAGGGGACAGTTTTAAGATTGTGCAGGAGGTAATCTGACCCTGTATCAGGAGAACTTCCACCTGAAAGCGTGAGTGAGGCGGGGGGGGGGTGGATTTAGTGTGAGTGTGTGGCAGACAGCAGGGCTCTTGGGATTTGGGAGCGCACATGAGTGAACTGTCAAGTCTTCAGGGCCCAAATCAGAGCGGCAGACACACAACGGATGTGGCCAGGCGATAAAAGCTGTCTGCACCCAGAGGGGTTTCGGTCCAGCTCCCGTGGGTAAAACTTCTTGACCCTGAGGCGCAAAATCCAGCGCGGCGGCCAGGTTATCTGCTGCCTGACCGAGACAATGACTTGACAGCTGTACTGACGTATTTCAGATTAAGTTAATTTGAAACGCACATTCCGACACATACGTTACGAGCATGTGCTGTCAAGCTTCAAGTGTGTGGCGTGTCTAATCTTGTAAACTAAAGTTCTAGTGTGTAATTACTATAAATATATGTGATACAGGGCATTGCACCAAGGAGAAATATACTTGTACGGAGCGCCAAGGGAAGCGAGTATAAATTTACTGCATCCACACCACATGATTAATAACGCTGCATATTGAACAGAATGGGGTCAAATACAGTCCTCCTCCCTACATCGCTGTATGTAGCATCTGGAATTGCATGACCGTGGAATCAGTGGCACACATAGAAATCCCTCAGGAGCTAAAACACACACACACACTCTACACCTATAGTCCCCTAACAAAAGTAATGTACTAAAAGGACGATGCAAACTTTGGCCACAACAGAACAGATAGAAGAGCTTGTCTGTGTGAAGAGAGCACGGCATGCTGCTGATAGACTATAAATACAACCAAGAAGTGCTGAAAAATGAACACGTGACAGCCTTTTCCCTTCACTACTGGTAGGCTTGGAATTTCATAAACCAGATACGAGCAGAGACGGACACAATGGTAATTTTTTGTCATTAAATAATAATAAACATCTGGTGTGACTTCGTTTGTCTCCTCTGCCAGCCGTCTTTATGATTTGACAGAGAAATGCACAGGAAGTGCCATGTGTCAGAAGTGGATGTGCTGCGAGGCCAGCTCTTCACTCACCCAGCAGACATCAAAAGACATGAGGACCCTTCAGCGAGCGCCAATTGGATTTTGAGTCGTGATGTTTAAAGAGAGCAAGATGGCGAGTGGAAGGAGTTTGAAGTAACTGAAGTAATTGGTATAAATTCGATTCAATTCAATTCAAATAACTTTATTTATCCCCTAGGGGCAATTCAAAAGCTCACTGAGTATTTAAATAAATAAATAAATAAATGAATAATGAATATATATGTATATATATATATTCAGGAACACTACAACTCTTGTGCTGAGAAGTAAAAAATTCTCATATCTGTGTTGAAAATACTATAAAACTTCACTGATGCCCAGCTCTGACAATCTCCGTTGTTATGTTTGTTGCCTAAGATCTGACTCCTAAATCCTATAATGAACAAACAAACATATTAACAACAGGGCTAGTGAAAAATACATGGTTCATAATAGCATTTAAGTCATGTTTTATCATATGCTAAAAATAAAAATCCAAATCAAGTTCATCCAGTGCTGGTTTACTAGTTCCCAGAAACATTTTAATATGATGATAATAGCACATTAAAAAATAGATATAAGTGATGCTCATTTGTGCTCTAACACGCAGACAGTTTGTTTAATAAGCTGTGGCCTTTGCTGTTGGCCACTAAGAAAACTGTGACCAGAGTATCACAAGTACAACAGTGTTTTACCGTCCATTCATTAAAGCTTTTGTGTTTTGTGTGTGTGTTTATTACACATTGTGTAAATTTGACCCTTATGTCAAAGAAAGATGCTCATCCATGTTCTCTTCTCCCGACTCTCTCTGCAGGGACTGGATTAATGCACAAGGCTCCCACCCGGCTCCCGGTCTATGACTCACTAAAATGCAGCTTAGCCAGTGATCACGCTGCGAGAGGCCTTGGTCACACACTGGGACTCCAGGCCTGCCCTTCTGCTCCGACACTGCAGCTGGAGGCGCCGTCAGGAGCATGAGTGTGGGAAGGATCAACCGCTACAGCATTGTGTCATCTGAGGAAGAGGGCCTGCGCCTCACTACCATGCATGGCATGAACGGCTTTGGCAATGGCAAGATTCACACGCGACGCAAATGCCGCAACCGTTTCGTCAAGAAGAATGGCCAGTGCAATGTGCAGTTTGCCAACATGGACGAGAAGTCGCAGCGCTACATGGCCGACATCTTCACCACATGCGTTGATATTCGCTGGCGATGGATGCTGGTAGTCTTCACGCTCGTGTTTGTCGTCTCCTGGCTGGCCTTCGGTTTAGCCTTTTGGGTCATTGCTCTGCTTCATGGAGATTTGGATAACCCAGCCGGAGATGACAACTTTACTCCATGCGTCCTGCAGGTCAATGGATTTGTGGCTGCCTTTCTATTCTCCATTGAAACACAGTCTACCATAGGTTATGGCTACCGCTGTGTGACTGAGGAGTGCCCAGTGGCTGTCTTCATGGTGGTCTTCCAGTCCATAGTGGGCTGCATCATTGACTGTTTCATGATCGGCGCTATCATGGCCAAGATGGCAAGGCCTAAGAAGCGAGCGCAAACACTGTTGTTTAGCCACAATGCTGTCATTGCCATGCGGGATGGAAAGCTGTGTCTCATGTGGAGGGTAGGGAATCTTCGCAAGAGCCATATTGTAGAGGCCCATGTCAGAGCCCAGCTCATCAAACCTCGGATAACTGATGAGGGGGAATATATTCCTCTAGACCAGATAGACATTAATGTAGGCTTCGACAAAGGCTTGGACAGGATTTTCTTGGTTTCACCCATCACTATTCTCCATGAGATAGATGAGGAGAGCCCCTTATTTGGAATCAGCAAACAGGACTTGGAGACAGCAGACTTTGAGATTGTCGTCATTTTGGAGGGAATGGTTGAAGCAACCGCCATGACCACGCAGGCTCGCAGCTCCTACTTGGCCTCTGAGATCCTTTGGGGTCACCGGTTTGAGCCAGTCTTGTTTGAGGAGAAGAACCTATACAAGGTGGATTACTCTCACTTTCACAAAACCTATGAGGTGCCGTCCACCCCCCGCTGCAGTGCCAAGGACATGGTGGAGAACAAGTTCCTAGTCCCCAGCTCCAATTCCTTCTGCTACGAAAACGAGCTGGCCTTCCTAAATCGAGACGAGGAAGAGGAGGAGGGTGTAGGTGGTGGGAGCAGGGCACTGGCGAACCTCAGTCCAGACCGGAACAGCCGACACGAGTTTGAACGCTTACAGGCCACCAGGGCACTTGATCAAAGGTCATATCGTAGAGAGTCGGAAATATGACCTTTACCCATTGACCCTGGGTGAAATTTCAATAACACTATCCAAGGGTAAAAATGCAGAACAATGCAAAGTGCCATAGGAAAAGCTGACTACTGTGAAAGAGTGGAAAACAAATAGGACAACAGTAAAAGGGACATAACTGGAAGGAATGGGGGAAAGCAGTACACAGCTTAAAACATTGTGGTAAGGAATGTCTACAATCAAGGAAAAGGCTAGAGAAAGACCTTCTTCCTTCATGGAAACTTGAATCTTTTTTTTTTCACATGGTCATTTTGAGTTAAGAGTGTTTAATGATAGTGCATCAAACTACTATTACGACAGAAACCTTATAATCAAATAGGTGTAAATACATTTCTTAGGTAAGTTATGTTTTGTGTGCAGTATCAGTTTCCAAATACACCTCTACAAAAAAAATAGAAGTTGCTATTTCAACTTGTTCTTGGCCACAAACAATAGTGTTACAAGGCGTCTCTTAAGCCTTTCTCGCATTGCTGGACCTGCGTTCAGTGACACATTGAAAATTCATGCACTGCAGCATTCAAACGCACCGAGCCATGATAAAACATCTGACCGTGAGCCACTATGAACAGCACAATTCAACAACTTCGTCTTAGTATTGCTGAGGTCCCACAGTCTAACCCCAACATAGGGAGAGTTCGTAAAATGAATTGCACTATAAAGAACCTTAAAGAATGTGTTGAACAGAAATTAAACATTATAAACACTATTTATTATCACATAATGCCTCTTCCAAGGCACCAACATCGTGATTTGGCTGCCTACACATAAAATGACATGCACCAACACTGATAAGAAGTCAGTAAACTACAGCACAAATGTTGGACAGCTGACCTTAACAAACCGTCTGTAAGAACACTACAGTTTGAATTTACAGGTTTAGGTTGTTTAAATTAATAAATAAAGAGTAACCCCACGAAGAAATGCACCTTAAAGTGTACCTTTAGTTACACTCAAACTTGTATGTTGGCAGACATTAACATGTGTTTTCCATTTTGTATAGAAATTAAGACAAACTGGCATAAATTGATCAGACCTAATGTGTATTTGTTCTCTTTAAAAAAAAAATCTATGCATGTTAACTGTATCAGGGGAAAGACATTCTACTGAGTTCTGTTGAAATTATGTAATGGCGTTGCAAGAAACAACACCCAAGAAAAAAAAGGTGGCATCAAGCCAATTTCAAAGAAAAGCTGTTTATCAAATCTGTTTGACCAGACTTAAATTAAAATGACAGCAAGTAAGTGTAAAAACCACACAAATTGCTTAAATTGTACAAAGGCAGTGATCATTTTTCTTGTAGTATTTGTTTGACCAAAGAGTCGTCCTGTGATCAAGCCACATAGGTGTTTCTATCCACCACACAAGCACCTATCTCAAATGTTAAATTAACAAGGCACAAGGTATAAGAAACAAACATGACAAAGACACTGAGTTATACTAACACTCTGTGTTGTACTAATAAGGTTAGAATACTCCAAATGTATAGGCAAACTTACAGTAGCTGCTCCTACATCTCTGTTCATTTGCAAATCAGCAGTAGCTAAGGTCCCTATATGTTGCTATTTAGAGAGCTCAGCTGTTTGTAGACTACTTACAGGACGACATATTTATTTACGATAGACAAAATACTCCTTAATGAGGCTAAAAGCAGTACAGATATACAGATATACACGGGCAACAGCAAAACAAAGAAAGAGACTGCTTCCCCTTTTTACATTACTTGATTCTTGCAAACTGTAGACAGCTCGATGTATTTGAGCAATATGCTAATACGAAGAGTTAAGACACTGGAAAGACGTCTGAATGGGAGCAATAAACACTGAAGCACAATTTATTTTTGAATCAATGTCAATAAACATATTCTTAATGATTCCCTTGACCGACACATACATATATAGATATCTCGCTTCACACATGACATGTCGAAGGCATGGTGCGAGGAGAGTGACCATACAATGTTTTTGTTGTTATTGTACTTGTATGCATATGATTTCGCAGATTTGATACCAAAGTAATGGAGTGTAGCTCAGACTCAAGTTTTTTTTTAAACGATCGTTCACTCCCCAAAAACCAGTTTAGACTGATGTTGAAAAAGACGGGTAGCTATATTTTAAAATGGTGTTGGAGTCTCCATTTTGCAACTGGTTTCTCTGTAGATTTAAATCATTGCTAAGAAAAAAAAAAGAAAAAGAAAAAAAAATGCCATTCAATGAAGGAAGTCCCTGTTGAATCAAAAGATAAAACCAAATCATGTAAAACTTAATTTGTTCTAAGATTTATTTGTTATCACTATATACAGTAGTTTAAGAAACAAATTTATTATGCATGACACTTTTTTTCATTGGCATGGGCGATAGCATTCAAAAATGATCCCTTATTCTAGATGCCTTGTCAGAGTTATCATTCAAACCTCAACATGTTCATGCTGTATTGCAACATACTATTAATCAAGTCCAGTTTATTCATTACCTCACTAAACATGTGGATGTCATGTTCCTATGAATCTATTTTAGTAAAACTTTCACATATAAAGGATGTGTAAAGAAGGAACTTATGGAATATGGTGAAAAGGTAGAAAATGAAAACTAGGAGGAGAACCATAAAATGGTTGTTATGTTGGTCACAATGACTAATATTTTCCTAATAGTCATTTAACTCTAATGCTATGTTTGAGTCTATGATATTTCTTGGTTACATGTTGCTTTTTTAGAAAAAAAAACTTTAGGATGTAGTAAAATCTAAATAGATTTTTTGGCTGATAAGTAAAGCATTCTTTATCCAACCCCAACATTTATTATGCTCAATACCTTCTGGGAAGGTTATGTACACTGATGTGTGAAGCCTCTGCACCATCTTACAAAATTTCAGAGGTGAAGAGTCAACAGCTTCGATGCTGCATCACTGAAATGGATAGCTCAATCATTTCTACTTTTTTTCAGATATTGTTTTAGCTTCGATGTTTCCCATCTGAGCCCTTAAAAAGAAAAAAAGAAAAAAAGAAGCACACACAAATCACAAATGTTTTAGCTAAATATGAAGATTTATAGTGTAAAAATCATAGTGATGTTATAAAATGGATTATAGGGAGCAGCCAGGCTGAACAAACCTGCTTATTTTTATACAAAGTTCTTTTTGATAGAATACAGCAATCAATATTTATCTGTTTTTACCAGAGTACTACGATGAAATCACCATTAAGAGGCAAAAATATAATACTTGTCTTAGTTTTCAATTATTTAAGTTCTGTTCTTTTCTTCCTTTCTTTCTTTCTTTCTGCACAGAAGCTTATGATTAAACAGGTATTTCTCTTAAAGGGATGATTGGAAAAACTTTTGACCTCTGTAGAAGTCTTCCTATGTCCAGCAAAATGTCTACTGGGCTTTTGATTTTAATTCAAAGTCATTTAAATTATTCAATTAAAAAACTAACTGTGAAAAAACAATGTTTTTATCTCTTTTGTTGAAAGTGGTTCACCAGTGTGCGCTGTATTGAAATGTAAGATCTGACCGAAACCCTGGATTTCCTCAGGCTTGGCTAATCAATGGACAAAGTGGTGGCTGAAGTAACACATCACCACGAGGGCTGGTTTAAGACGAGAGATCAAGCTTCGTGTCACCACAGTCAGATGACTTACTGGTCTTTGGCCAATTATTCAAGAAGGCTCATCAATTAATCACTGTGACACACAAACAACCGGTGAGGCCAGGGGCCTTTTGGCCCTGTGGACCTAGCCAAGAGGAATATAGCCGGCTTTGTCGGACCAACTGGGTAAACAGCACAAGAGAAATCATTATTACTCTTCTACCCCTGCATAAATGAAGCCTTAATGTTTTAAAACATTACATTTCATTATCAGTCTTTTTCATACAACACTTTTTGACATGGAACAGAAGAAAAACATCAATAATAACATTCATGATGGCCAAATTCCATCAAGCTGCTTTAGTTTCTAGTATTATCATCAGGAACGCCGTGATTTGCTTGCTAGGAAGTCAAAATTTCTGCTGTGAAGAAAGCCTTCAGCAATAACAATAACTCCACATTTAGCTTTTCTTGTCAGCTGAAGATGTCCAGTATTTAGTAGTCTGCCAATATTGTATATTTACAATATAATAATAAATAATAGCAATTTCCCCGAGGTTTTGTACTGAAGGGATCAATAAAGTTTTATTCTAATTCTAATTTATTCTAATGATATTTGAGAGGAAGTTAATCTGATACATACAATCTGAATGATATATGTGTGTATTTATACTGTACAGAGAGGGATTTTTTTTTTTAAGGCTGCCTGAATTTGGTTATCAAAGAGGGAAATAAAATGGGAAATCTGATCATAAAAAATTAATTTCTGACTTCTCCTGGTTGACAAACTATGGAATGGTGACACTTTTGCCACACTACCTACCACAAGTTTGGGGAATCTATTTTATTTGGTTACTTTTCAGTCTGCTTGTACACTGATAACAATCTATATTATTCATTACCAAAACTTTGCAGCTCAACAGTATATGGTTTGAAATAGAGTTTCACAATTCTAATGAGACACAGAGCATGCAACATGGGGTTTCCAAAAAGCAGAAATGACAGACATATTGATATTTTGATAGAAAACATAGGTGACAAGACATTCATGTATGCGAAAGATCTATGATCAAATGTTGTATTTCTGTGACAGGGCTACCTTTGAGTAAAGAGCTGAAAGAAACATGACAGTTATGCAAGCTATGCAAGCAATGTAATCATCGGCACCACTGAACAAAATTTTGCTGGGTAATGACAAATCCTGAATAGTTTCCATGAGCTCTGCGACCATCAGTTCTTTTTAAATAATTCAAGTTGGGGTGATTAAGTCACCCGCAGTGAGTGACAGATGTGGGATTAACATGCTGGCCACTGGTTGCGCTGAGCTCAGGCGTTGGTTCTCAGCAATAACTGACACTGGGATCACAGAGGCTATGCTGGAAGCTTTTGCCAAGTTT